TCCATACCTACCGATTGGGTGTCAACCAGTTCTCGGACATCACGGATGAAGAGTACAGACAAATGTTGACATTAGACGTGTCGGCGCTGGAGGGACAGCAAACTTATGACAAGAAGCCGTACTCCATAAAAGCACAGTTACCCGAAAGTGTCGACTGGAGAACCAAGAATGTGGTGTCGGCCGTCAAGAATCAGGGATCGGTAGGTTTTATACAATAGTTTTATTAGATTTTATTAGTTATTAGTAAGACTTTATGAATGTTTTATAGAAATCCTTTAATATTATTATTATTGTTATTTTATTTTAATATGAATTTATCTTAACTTATTATAAATAACTAAAATTATATATTAATAGTAATTAATATTATTATAGTTACTAATTATTATTTTTTATTTAAGATAGTAGCAATAACCAAAACAATTTATAATTATGTAAATATATGATAGAAACATACAGTATTCAACTTTTTATAAGGATATAAAATGATTAATTTATTATACAGTATTTAAGAATTATAAATTTTGACTAACATTTATCTACCTGTCCTCGCAGTGCGGTTCATGCTTCGCCTTCGCCAGCGTTGACACGATAGAGAGCGCGCACGCCATCAAAACCGGAACTCTGGTGACCCTATCCCCGCAAAACGTCATCGATTGTATGGGCAACCCGGGTGTATGCACCCAGGGCAGTTACATGCACCTGGCATTTGAGTTCATCATCAAAGAGGGAGGTCTCGACAAGGAGGAGAGCTATCCATACAAAGGCGTATACCACAAATGCAGCTACCAGGCCCAGTACTCGGGCGCCTCCATCACCGGCTACGCCAACGTCACCTCCGGTGATGAGGATGCCCTCCAGGAGGCCATTGCCACTAATGGCCCGGTAGTTGTGGGTATCGACGCCAGTCTCTCCACATTCAGGAGTTATAAGAGCGGTGTTTATAACGATAAGAAGTGTAAGAACGCGTTTAGGGACTTACACCACGCCGTGGTTGCTGTTGGATATGGCACTGAAAATGGTCAGGACTACTATATTGTCAAGAACTCGTGGGCTACCACCTATGGTGACCATGGCTATATCAAGATGGCACGTAACGCTAATAATCATTGCGGTATTGCCACGTACGCCCTGTACCCCACTGGTACCAAATAAATACATGCTATGTTTTAGTAGTTTTATATTATTAATATTAATATAATATTAATGTTGTATGAAATTGTATAAATAATAAAATAATTTTTAAAATATTACTTCATGATACTTTACTATTTATATAAAGATTTATTTTTAAAATCTTAATCCAGGACAAATATCAGCTTTAAGCGTAACCTAATCGCTTAAAACACTATTCTGTTATTTTGTTTTATAATTGTACGTGTAATAGAAAATGTTCATTTGGGAACAGGTAACATTAGCTACAAATTGATATCTCCACAAAAAAACTTTTTTTATTGTACATTACTTATAAATATACTACTATATTGTCAATAATTCGTGCAGCACCTTGGGTATATTAATAATTAAAATGATACTCAATGTTAATAACGTTTGTGGCGTTGATACGCCCTATACCATACTGGGTGCCCAATAAATAGTTTAAAATAACTAACATGCTAACTAACTAACTAAATTATTAGTTTTTTCTTAATAAAAATTAATTTAATTATTAATAATTGTAATTATGATAACCAGAAAATTGGTCCGGATCATTACGCGGACAAAACCGATTGGATGGGTCCGCCCCACGACACCAACTGGACTATAGTGGACGTCCAGCGCAACCCCGACCTGAGCTGTGACCCCAAAGTGTGGATCTGTGAGCACAGGTGGCGTCAGATCTATAATATGGTTCGGTTTAGGAATATAGCGGGCAATGAAGCCATGACTAACTGGTGGACCAATGACTACCACTCCATCGCTTTCGGCC